AAAAAAAAAAAAAAAAATATATATATATATATATAAAATATATATATATAAAATATACTTAAGTGTGTACAATGCTTTGGAGGTAGTCTACAAAGAATGCATCTAGTACTTAACCTACTATGAGGGAATCAGACAAAGTTTCTTTAGGGAAGGGATATTTAAGCAAAGACTTGGAGAATGGACAGAGACTAGAGGTTACATCAATTATCAGTTGTAAAACTTAAGGTAAGAGGAGTCAGGAATAACATTAGAAGCCCATAACATGTAAGACACTGTGTTAGGCATTTAATACAAAGCATCTTTTAATTCTTAGAACAATCCTGTGAAGAATATCCTGTTAGTCCTAATTCATAGATAAGACAACTGAGGCTCAGGGATTAAACTTGCCCAGTGTTACAAAACTTTTTTTCTTTCCACTTTTAGTGTTACAAAACTTAAGCAGTAGGAAATAGGCTCTGAAATCATGTGTGTAGTATGCCAAAACCTGCTTTTTGCCCAATACAACATATTCTTTCTCATTACTTGAATACGTCTCTGTTTTGGTGACTTATCTATAAAAAAGGGACAATATTACTTACCCTGCCTGATCAGGGTTGCTGAATGGATCAAACAGAAAAACATATGTGAAGGTATTTGTAAGTATCAAAGCAAAATATAAAGGTTAGGGATTATTAGCCTATGTTAATGAGTAACCACCCTTAGATATAACCACATTACATGTTAATGAATTTAAATTTTACCTGAATACAAAGGATCAATTACAAGGAACTTGTAAGTAACTATGGTAGATAAAAATGGAAGTGCAATTAATGATGCATATGTCTTCAAGGCATGATGTTTAACATTCAAGGAGCGTCTCAAAAGAAAGTTTGACACTATTCCAGAGAAACTAGATGATGTTGCAAGTGTTACTATTCCATGAAGATCTAAGGTCCTAATAGGAAAAACAATAAAATTAAGTTTAAAAAATTATTGTAATAGATTTATCCTTTCCTCAGTAGTTATTTCTTTTTATGTATGTACTCAGCATCAAATATTTCTTGAGCACTTACTATGTAAAAGATATTTTCTAATTACCAAGGATGAGGCAATGAACAAAGCTAAGCAAGGAAAAACAAATCCTACCCATCATGGAACTTGCAGGCTGACTGGAGGATATGATTTTCCTCTGGAGAATATTTAGAGTAGTTCTAAAATGGAGTTCTTTTGTGGCTATAAATAAATATAAATATGTTCCACTGAATCCAAATTTTATGAGATAGTCATTTCCAAGAATACCTTCCCTTCTTAAAAGAATTTGTATAAAGTCATCTAGAAAAAATGTATTTACATTTGGTTAGGATGTCTAAAAGATAATTATTTCTTAATTACCCTAGACAAATTTAATTTGTTCATGATTCATCAAACTTCACCCAAAGAAATATGATAGATCTCATTTTACTTATTTTGATTCATACCTAAATCCTAAGAAGATAATCCTAAAAAAAATGGCAACAGAAAGGATCTGTAAATAAAGTTATTAACTTCCAGTCTGGGTATGTCTCTTACTTGTATTTTCTAAGATCCTCAAATTTTTTTTCTATGATTTTGATGACCATTGGTCTTCTGAATTTTGCATCTCCTAGAGAAGAACTGGACTGAGCATTTGTATATATTGCTGTCTTCATCCCCTGGAAAAACAAAATTCCAAAGCCATAATATCATGATTGTTTTAGTTTCTTAGATATACCCTTAAAAGTAAAAAAGAAAGTTAAATATTTCCAACCTACAACAGCACAGGGTAAACATTCTCATTCTAAAAAGGAGAGATACAATAGAAAGGAATCAGACTTAACCATGACTGAAACCCAGCAGGGCAAGCATCGAATCCCTATGTCCAGCACCCTGGGAAAGTGGTATTAAGATGTGAGCTCCAAAGGACTTGGGTGGCCCCACTTCTGTGGCATTGCTGGTTCCAGCCCATATGACCTGTCTCTGGGGATGGCTCCACTCACTCCTTGTGGCTTTCCTCAGCAGGTGTTCCACATTCGTGGCATCTCTAACTTCCTGAAGTCACTGCACTTTTGGCTTCACTCTCATAGCTTCATGCACTGCCCTCTTAAGGGCACACAAGCTGGCCTCCCTGACCTTTTAAAATCTGGATGGAAGACTGCCAGACCTCACAACTCCTGCATTCCACATGTCTGAAAAATTAGTAGCATATGGATGACACCAAGGTTGTCTGACAGCTCAAGCAGCAGCCAGGTCCCCTTGGATCATGGCTGAAGAGGCCTCTGAGTGCCTGAGTGAATCTACACTTGAAACAAATCCTGAAAAACCAATTCCCCAGGCATCCCTTTGCAAGCAGGGGTCCTAGGGACTCTCTACTCAAAAGAAAGCTTTACAGTTTTGTACCCTTAAGTCTGTGAAGAAGAGGAGTCTTGCTGACTCCTGAGATGCCTTCAAATCATCTTTCCTATTATCCTGATACAAAATTGTTTTTTTTTTTTTTTTTCGTGTCAGTCTTTTAGCAACCATGTTCACCTTAGCAAGTATTTCCTTTTTGATGAAACTGCAAACTTTTAACGTGGTGTTTTTGCTCCTGATTTTTACTGTAGATTTGGCTAAAAGCAGCCACTGGTACCCATCCCATTGTCTGAATTTTGGGCTGGATTGAAATTTTCTGTTTCAGATTAATTAGTCCACTGTCTTTAATCTGTCTCCTCTAGTCTTAGGACATGGACAAAATGAAGACAAATTTTTTGCCAGGGTGTAATACACATGGCCTCTAGTCCAACTGCCAATAGAGTCCTTGTTCGGAACTGAAACCTCCTGGGCCTGCCCTTTACTGCCTGCATTCTTCCTGTTAGCATTCTGGTCTTCTGAAGTCTGGCCAGAATCTCCCATCAAGTTTAGCTTACAGCAATCTTCAAACCAAAGACCTCCCACAAACCAGTTCCAAAGGCTTCTAAACCACATGGGCAAGTAAAATTATAGCAACACCCTCACTTTTCTGGTACCAATTTCAGTCTTACTTTCTTATTGCTGGGTCAAAAAATACCCAATACACACACCTTAAAGGAAGATAGGATTATTTTGGCTTACAGTTTCAGTCCATGGTTGGCTGACTTCAAAGGAGAAACAGGATGACAAAGGGTATGGCAATGGAAAAAGATGTTTGACTTATGGCAGCCAGGAAGGAGAGAGCAAAGGGAGGAGGTGGGAAAAGAGATATACCCTTCCAGGTCACTTCCCTAGAATTGACTGGTAAGTGTAATGCTCCCATGTTCTAATCACTCTCCAAAAGCCCCACCTCTGAACACATGAGACTTTTGGGGAGGGGGATTCTACATCTAATCCATACCAATAATATTTATATTAAATAAAACCTTATAAAATTATACAGATTCAGATTAAAAATATTTAGAGCTAGTAATGTACCAGGCACTACTATATCATCTGCTTTCAAATACTTTAAGTGAATAATTTAATCCATATTTACTGAGCTCTTATTATCTGTTAGAAACAGCTTTTTGAGTCATACAGTAACTGAGAAATTGGTAGGATAATGATCACCTTTACTTTTACAGATGAGAAAACCCAAGTTCTGAAAGTTTGATTTACGTAAGGAGTTATACAGAATGTTAGGTTACTGAGATACTGATACTGAGTTTTTGTTTTCAGTATAGTTTTCTCTGTCATTCCAAGAAAGTAACCAGAGAGAAGGGCAATACTCTAGCCTGGAAAGAAGCAGTAGATCATAGGTACCCTGGTTTAAACATGTTACACATTCAGTTCTCTAGCAGCACCTGAGGTAGACGCAGGGCCTTGGTCAGAAATAGGTATGTGGTATACCACAGAATCTTGCATTGGGCCATGGGGATGGAAGGTTCCTGTGTTCCCAGTTCCAAGTGTGATGAGTAGACCACTGCTAACATGTAAGACATTAAGGAACCATAAAGGCTTGGCCAGTAGCATCTTATAAAAAAGTCAGGTTAAAAAATAAACAAAAAAACTCTTCCTCAGAAAGGATTGTTTCTGATGTTTTGATCTAGGTGAGACTTGTGTCTTTGTGAAAAGTCTTAATAACAACATTTGTTACCACGAGCAACCAGAAAACTTAAGATATATTTTTGTTCTGCCGTAATCAATGTCTTTTAACAATCACCTACCCTAGTGTACACCGTCAGCTCTGTAGAGGGCAGAAAAAAGACCTACCCAGGATTCTGACTACAGGACAGTAAATACTGAAATAATGAAAATAAGACAACAAATATTTATTGAATAGTCTTTACAAGATGTTGTCAAAGTATTGACTGTTTTCACTCCTCTCCTTATTTAAGCAGATAGATTAAAAACTTTCAGACTTTTTTGTCTTGCTGAAGATCAAACCCAGGACCTACTGCATACTGATTTGTAAAGATTTTGCTACAATCAATATTTCATCTAAAGATTAACTAGTCCAAAGCTGCCACCCAACTGTTAACCACACTCATACCAGTAAGAGTGCATCTATGTAGGTTCATAGTTTGCAAAGCATTTTTACGGTTGTGTTGTGGTTTTTTTGCTGTTGTTTTTTTCTTTCTTTTCTTTTTGGTTTTGTGCGTTATGTTTCTATATGTGTTATTTCATCGGACGTTCACAATTTTATCAACATTTGTTCATCATTTACTGAGCACCTGGTGTATACAGGACCTCTGGGTAATCAAGATATAATCAGTGTGTTAAGGAACCCACAATTTGGCAAGAAGTCAGGACAAATGGCAGAAATTTAAAGACAGAATGAAGGTATCATTGAAAAAAAGAAAGAAAACGGAAACTTAACTAGCCACAGTCTACATGTGAGAAGAAGTGACATTTAAACAAGTATCTTAAAGAGGGGAATTTGGTCCTAATTGAGAGGAATGTGAAAAGAAAAAAACTACTCCTAATTGAAAGAAAGGCCTGTACAAAGTGACATTTAAACGAGTAAGGAGGGGAATTTTGTCCAAATTGGGAGGAACAGGAAAAGAAGTATTCTTAATTGAAAGAAAGGCCTGTATAAAGTGACATTTAAACGAGTATCTTAAAGAGGGGAATTTTGTCCAAATTGAGAGGAACAGGAATATAAGTATTCTTAATTGAAAGAAAGGCCTGTACAAGGAAGCAAGAGAAAGCAAGCTACAGATCATCTAGAACTTAGGTCTCCTACTTAATGTCTGCTTCTCCCCCCCCCC